AATCTTTTGAAAGATGGAATATTTGAATTATTTGATGTAAAAGAAATATATTTTATTCTGAAAATTTCTTTTATCATTATATTTGGTAAAATCCTATATCTATACATCAATCATTCACGGCCAGCAAATGCATGGGTACGACCGAAGGTAGTGAAATTCAGTTCTACCTCGCGAAATGCTCTCACATGGCCACGCGTATACAGTCACTCTCAGAGAAGTCTTACTCAGTGCCTTCTGTTGCATACGAAATTGAGAGGACGAAAAGAGAATTTCCGGCGCTTTAATCGAATTGGTGGATACAGAAGATTCATCCAATGAAGTTGGAAAACTTTGATACCAAACAATGGTACACATGGGCTCCAGGATCCTGAGGGAACAACTGGCGTATGAACCAATTATTAGTTACCGGCTACCACGGAATGGCATCTTTCGACGTCGCTCCACTGTCTTGTGGATCAGATCTTTAAGTCGAAGGCTCCTGTTGTGGCCTGACAAGAAAACCACCAACTTTGGTCTGGGCACCCGGGCCGTATCACAGTTACACAAAAATCAAGTGACTTGTGTGGCGTATATGTGTTCGGTGCCCCTTTGTATCACTATTTATGTGTTCAAATAAGTAAATAAATCCAGGAGTTCACTGATTTTTAAAGAAAAAGTATTTTTCAATACTGTTAACACATTTGAAAGGTTACCTCAACTTGTTATCTAAAATAAGGACTGATTACTCTGATAAAAAGCAAAAATTTGAAACAGCATTTGCTAGATTTATTGTTTAATCAAGTAACATTGCTAACTATCTTATCACAAGGCCAAACTATATCTTCTTTAACGCCTTTTTTTATTAAGTTATTTCCCTCAGACACTAATTCAAATACACTTATGATCATTGATTATAAAATGTTGTATTTCGATAGAACAAGGAGAAGACGGAGTTGATCTAAAAAATGTGATGGATTCGCGCTATGCATTTCGAACAATCTGGTCACACATATACTTGTCAGGGCATTTTCTATGAAAATTAATAAAGGTCAATTAAATGAAAGTTTATAATAGGGACTAATCGCTTTAAATGTTGTATTAATGATATCACTCCAAACTTTTGTTTTATTTGAAAATGAAACATAATTAAATAATTAGTTATCTACATCAATAAGCGTAAATAGAAATTAATGGAGGACATAACTCCCGATGTTTTTCCAACAGTTTACTTGCAAAAAGGAACACTTAATGTTAAAAATAACTCAAATAAAATAGCATGAACTGTTCACAATAACTATGAGTATTTATTAAAACTTTTCTCGTCATCTCCTGTCAAACTAACTATAAATATTTAAATAGTTAAAACTACTCGACTGTTACTATGATGATGTACTTCCAGTTTTCTTATTTTTTGTATATTATTTCATAACAATGAACAATGGTAATATAATTATGACATCGTTAAGTCACCACATTTTATGCCTAATTTGATGATAACTAATAATGAACACGAAGTTTCTTATTTGATTTGAATTGTTTCAACATACCAATAAAACTGATATGTTAGTATTATGCGTAATAGTTTAATTCAGAAGACGATGAATGTTTGGTAAATAAGTCATCCGATGCCTGGACTATTTGTATCCAAAGTTATATATTGTTATTTTTATTGGTTTTTTAATCATGTAGGTAACTATTTAAATAGTCTTATAACCAAGAAAAAAATCACTTCTTACTATAGCAAATTGATACTACAGGAAAACTACTCGAAAATAATACCATCTTCAGTGAGTTACTTCAGTAACTTCAAAGTACATCAATTGCATAGACCTCTCGGCAAATGTTTTGCGGAGTATTTTAGAATAACTGGTCGAATAAAATTCAATCCAGGAAATCAATAAAGGTTTTTTTTGTTTTGAGTTAAGACGACTTGCTTTCCTAAGTGTTTTTAAGTCAAAAAATATAAATTACTTTTATTTATTAAATTACTTAGACATGTAATTTCATAAAGTCACGGAATAGTTTTATTTTCAATGTCGTTTGGTCATCTAAATCTAATCGATTACTACTGATCAACTTGTATTTTGTACAAATATCATTCAAATATACATTAAATTATATTGTTATAATTAAAACCGTTTATTGTTTTACATTTCGTCATCGCCTGAGTATTCAAGGATCACTGCTTGTTATTCATTGAAGAACGGCAAAGCAGTCAGCAAATGGTTTGAATTTTAATATTTGTAATGGTTAAATGAAATTGTATTTTACTGCCATCACATAGTAAGTAGCATGTTCAACGTTTTCTACATTATATCCTCCGTAAAAATAAAACGAAATCATTAACTAATATTCATTATGGATGAAAGATTAGATGTTCAACATATTACATTTTATAATGATTGCTATCACTACTTTGATATTATTAATTGGTTGTTGATGTTTTCATAACGTATTTGTTTTCACTGAAATTAATGACATTATTCTGCTTTATAAAATTTCGATTAAAATATAGTTATTACATGATGTACGATCTTGAGAGATAAAGGATTTGATAAACCATCTACTTTTATTTGAAGTGTAAAATAAGCTGCCTCATTGAAGTTACTTATAAAAAATTGCTTAGTATAATCGATTGGTACATAATACAGGCTGAGAATTTTGAGAAATTTTGAGAAAAAAGATGTGAACGGATCGATTTTCTCATAGAACTGTAGCAACTCTCCTACAATCAATTTCGATTATGATTAACTTTTGTCAAGACCTTATACTAACTTATTTAACAGACAATGTTATTAGGAACTAACATTTCGTTCGTATAAACGTGTAGGCTTGATTATGTGCGACAGCCTACGCGCATATCTCTCTCTAGCTTAAATGTCAATAACTTAAATATCGCTCAAAGAATTATTCTCTTTCACATGTATATATGTGCTCGAGTCCTGTTGATAGCCTTTCCTTGCTTAGGCTTTGCCGTACCTAGCTGAGCTTTGATTCGATTTGACTATAAATTTTTCTCTGTACTTGCTCGTTCACACATATATTAGCTTCTCTGTCTCGATTCACCCGATGTACTTGTAACTTTGATACATGCACCATCCGCTAATAAACTGTATTCGCTGCTACTTATTTCCTTCTGAATTCAAACACCATTGAGATTTATATAACAACGTTTATAAAGTTGACTGATTAACGAAGCTGAACCACTACAGATCTTTATCTGAAGCTTTAAGTCAATAAATCGATTTCAGATACTCTCGGTTCCATTTAATTTGAATGATATTGATTATTTTTTATCGATTTTAGTGCGAGGTGATCTACAGCTATCAATCAAGGAAAACAGTTAATATATCATAAAATTGTTCTGTATTTTTTAAAAGCAAAATCCTGTTAATGATCTAAATGATATTGCGGAAATCGATTCTAGTCGTTGTGTACTTATGATAACACAATGCTAAATTTGCATAGAATCATGTGAACAAATTTATAAAAAGTTGCTATACAATAATTTTTAGTTATCATTACCAAGGTTTGATTTGATAGTTTCCAATAAATTGAGCATTGGGTAGATTGTTATAAATAAATTAATATATTTGTAATATCCCAATGAGTAGAAATATTAGATTTTCTGACGTTTCGTGGCTTAGTGTAAGTCACTTCTTCAGAGAATAAATAACTAAATTAAAATTAATCCAAGTTTAAATAGTACAACCGGACAATCACGAAACGTCAGAAAATCTAATTTTTCTACTCATTGAGATATTACAAATATACTATTTATCTATAAAATAATTGTTTTACTTTACTTTAACTTGTGACATATTCTAGCAATCAATGGTATTATTATAAATTCAGTAATCCTAGTGAAATATTGTAATTGTACTGTATTTTTGTCTATGATAAGGAGGATTACTAAATTGTAGCTTTTAGTTTCATTATTTAATACTTATGTATATAGGTAAGAATAAATATTGTGCTTACATTACATAAGAAGTTAACTAAGAAATAATGATCACTGTCTCATTTAATTCAAGCGTACAATGTTTTATGATTATTTCTTGGCTTTATCTATCAGATTGAATGATTTCTATTTATGCAATCTTCCAATCAGTTCAGTTTTGTATAAAAGTCTGCTTTCATAATTGTATTGATATATGTAAATCGCATATTTCATAAACGTTGCATAGAAATTGATTGGGCTGTAGAAATCATTTAAAGTTATTAAAAAGACGTAGTAGACTGCAATGTTTATCCATCAAACTTCATTTGAAAAAATCATTGTCAAACACGTTTTTCTAATCAATAATGATACAAACGATAGAGAATTTTTTCACTTTAAAATTCATAAAACCTTCTATTGCATCTACAAATAAGTGGTCACTGTGGAGTGAATAACTTTATGTCCTTTAGTACTGATCGAGTTACACTGGGTGAGTTACAATATGGTCACTAGTCTACGTAACTCGACATCGTGTGCACTACATTCAGATGTTATGTGGCTGGACATAATGACGGGTATACTTTGAACCTCATTTTCGTGCTCGTTGATATTTGTTAGCAAGGCGTATCTGAAGAATTAATGGAACTGTTCCTCATTGTGGGATTAGAACCGTCTTCGACTAGCATGAAATCTAGGTTGGCGAATTCCTATCAATTACCTCAAACCTCCTGACATTTCGATGTAATGCACCTGATTTCTAATCACTCAGGCTACTGGCCATATATTAACCTGATTGAAAGAACTCCATCAACATAATGTACTAGATAAATATGACCAGTCACTTCTCAGCAGCCAAGCATTCGTAAATAACTCATTTCCACAGGACTGTAAAGCAGAGTGACGCAGAAACGAATCCCATGGAAAGTATCACTTCCAGATACATATTGCTGACGAATTCCAGAAAGAACAAAACCTAGGTTTAAAAACTTCTGTTGGTTATTTCCAACTACTCTACATCAAACAAAGCATTATGGTAAAAGTCACTGATTTAAAATATTACCCAAAACAACTCACTTCTCACCTCATATTCCGTTAAAACTTTATCCAAATCGAGATCATCCAAATTTTTCATTCTCATCAATGAATAATCAATGTCTGGTAGACATCCATCCACTGGAAAATATCTATGATTTGTGATTTTTGAACTTTTCATTCCAATAAATATGAAAGTATATTAATAATTCTGTATGACTTTGAATATATGAGTAAAATTTATTTTATCCTGAGTAAAATAATTAGCTATGAAAAGTCTTGAGGCGAAAAATTGAAATTTCTATTCAGTTTAGCATAAATGATTCATTTTGATACTTTGAATGAAATTACAGCATATGTGAGCATATAGAGCTTACATAACAACTGTATGAGAACTGGATAAATTTTTTTTTAACCAATCAGAGTAAAACACTAAATAATTAAGGCAACCAATGAAATAGTATCTGATAAATAGATTTAAACAATTCCCAAAGTAATCATAGCTACTGTAAACTGTTACACTAGAAGGGTCAATTGTAGATCATTTTTTAGTATTTAATATTGATCTATGCGTTTATTCATATTTCTTAACCAATTATTTACTTTTCACAGACATCGTTAGTCATTTTCTAATGACTTAAAATAATATAGTTGAGATACATTCTTGAAGTTATCTTAACAAATATTGTAATTAATAACGATTATGAGTTCAACCTCTAAAGTATTATCATGCATATTATAACTTTCCTACTTACAACTAAGCAAAGATGGATAGTGGTTAGCAGTGGAATCTAGAACACGCTTTTTTTCTGTTTGGGACTCGTCAGATAGATGAACATGAACTCTGGGATGCAGGTACATCCAGCTGACGAGTCCCAAATGGAACGCAACGCACGTCCAGGATTCATCTGCCAGCGACTATCCATCTTTGCTTATAAAGCTATATAGAAGCGCTCTATATAGAATATCTTAGTAAAATCTGAGAACCATACAGTAAATACTTGATTTGCAAAATGTCAATCAGTCGTCTCAGATTTCATTATTCTTTCATTTTCACACCAATCATTCTCTGTTCTCGTTCTTTCTTCTTCAAACTTCCTAACCTTCTGTCTTCAGGCATTTCACTTTCGATAGATGATACATACTACTTATATCTGTCGACATCAGTAGCACACACCTTGAATATTTAGAAATATAAAACTAAGAAACTCTGTTAATCCTGTTCTCTAACTTCACTTAATAAAAAAAACAGAAAGTGGAATCGATGCTACAGAAATAGCTCTGATGATAGAAAATGGGAACATTCGCTATAATTGTTGATAGTAACGAATTTCAGTAAGCACATTTCATTTTCGTTTCTTTTGATAAACAATACATAATAGCACTAAAATGTTGTAGTCCGACTAATTGTTAAAATGTATCAATAAAATAACGTTTAATTACTTATTAGGCAAATGTCCAAAGCTCATCAATTAATTAGTAAGTCAGTAAATGTACTAATGTAAAATAAAGATGTCTATTCAAAACAAATCAAACAATATATCATATTAACTATTCAAAGCAAAAAGTAGACAATATCTTGAAATAAGTATAAATACAATTATTTTAACCATCAAAGTGATATTAAAGCATTATCGTACTCTATTTTATATCATTTCAATCATGAATCGACTGAATTTAGACATGAACACTATTGAATTTCGACTCAATGGTTTATAAGTTAAGCGTTCACGCACGAGATCGAAGGTCCTGGGTTTGAATCCTGAATGCAGGGTCGTAGTTGCACACTGCTGAGGAGTCCCCAACCATGACGAAACGGCCGTCCAGTACTTACAGGTTTTCATTAGTGGTCTAACATTGACTGATTCATAAATCCAATCAGGTAATTGTCATTCTTATGCCAATTTCTCCCTCAAGCAATTCATTAATCTAATAAAACTGAAATACAAGAATTTATTGGTGAAAAGGATTAAATCTAAATGTATTTTAATATTTACTTCATGTAGAATTGAGTTTTTATACAACTTTAAATATTGTAAACAATAATTTATTTTTATGGATAAGACTTTTTGTTATTGGTTACATTTTAGTAATGTGTAAAATAAAGTTATTTATAAAAAAAGTAAATTACTCTGAAGAAGTGGCTTACATTAAGTCACGAAACTTCAAAAATACAACTTGTCTACTTATTGGGACATAATAAAAATATATTTATTATCAACTTTCTAATCAATGCTCAATTTATATGAAATTATCAAGTTCAACCATGGCATTAATACCTATAAACTCATTAATAACAAGATGGAAATATCTAGAAAAAAAACTATTTGTTGTTCATTATGAAAAATATCAACTTAATAATGAATATTTTTGAGGAAACCCCTTTCGCTATAAATTTAAAGTGGAATAATACCCAACACTATAACACTTGACTAGAAAATATTTTTCTCTTCAATAAGTAACCATGTAAAGTTATTTTTATTTTAAAAAAACAACTGAGTTTATACCCATTTTAAAATTAATCCGATCATGTAAGGAAATAATTATAACTAAACAATAAGCAAACATATTGGTAAGCGTGTTATCATGAAACTAAATTACTTTCCTATCGCGTTTTATTTTGTTAGTCAACTACTAACTTGAGAGATATTTGAATGATAAGAAATGAGAATTCATATAATAAAATATATTGAATTGAATAAATCAATTAAATCACGATTGTTCGTCCCTATATATGTGTTTCCGCATATACATATAAATTGGTTGACACAATGGAATGTGACACAATCGCTTACACGCTGTTTGGATTTTGGGTGAAATATAGACTTGTTCTTTTCTATAATGATACATACACAAAAAGATGCAGAAATAAATGAATTCCAATGGTCAAATAAGATCACAGGATAGACAGAAATCAGTAAAGATTTATTACTGGTGAAAACTAATAATCAATTTTATTTATAGTTAGAGAATATAATAGAGCAAAGCTATTAAGGCTAATTTATTAATATCACTTTTACATCATTTTCATTATATACGTCATCTTAACGCCAATTCACTTTCATAGGCTTCATCAATAAATTATTTTCACTTAGTATTTTTTTAAAATACATTCAAAATAATCGTACAACTTTATTATATCATGGGAAAATCTCGAACGTTTTATTATAAATGCACCTCAAAAATACTGTATGATAACAGTATGCCCATTAAATTACTTTGAATTCAATATTTGAGTTCATGAACCAGTTAAATCTAGACCACTATAGAAAACCTGGAGGCACTGGACTAACGTTCGCCATAGTATGGGATTCCTCAGCAGTGCACACTCACGATCCCGCTCGCTGGATTCCAACCCGGAACCCTCGGTCTCGCGCTTGATCACTTAACTTCTAGATCACTGAGCTGGCATCCAACGGTGTTACTGTCTAACTTCAATCAATCCACGAAATTGCACCGCCGTCCAACACTGTCTTAAGTGAGTTTGTAGTGTCAGTTATTGTGTTAAGCCCATATACTGTATTCTAACTTTCGGACATCCCATTCTATTCATTCTACTTGAGTCATAATTTTACCTTTTCAATTATTCGCTTATCAGTTTTGAATTTTTATATGAGCGTATATGTGTGTACATTTCAAATTCCATGACTCACCACATGTCTGTAGTTTATTTTGTCTGCCTATAAATATTGAGTAACGCTTGACTAAAAATGAGTTGGCTTACCAGCCATCTCCACTGCGCATCATTTTTACTTGGCTCCACCATGTGCTTAGTTGCTGTACGCTTGCGGATTTTTATTAATCATTAGCAATCATTATTAATCAATTATCTCTACAACTGATGTTCAGGCTTCCGAATAATCTCGAGTAAATCCGTAATTTAACTAGGAGATTAAGCCTACCTTAAATACTCAGTTTACGGGATATTGAAGCTAGAAGTTATTATCTCACAACAGACCCGGTTGAACGCTAGACCACCATGGAAAACCTGGAAGCACCGGACGGCCGTTTCGTCCCAGTATGGAACTCCTCAGCAATTCTACCGAATATTCTTAGAAGATAATATTTTTGAATGATAGCTTCTGTGTGTAGAATATCGTTTTGAAAAAGGTAAATATACATAAATATATAAATATGATGAAACACTCTGAAATGTCTATTTTTTAAATTCATTTCTAATTATAGTAGTTTTGACATGCAAAATTTCTCTATTAATATGTTAATGAATTGAACTTGAATCTACTTGAAGTGAATGCTTCGTTAATGCAATATTGACCAGTCGCATGATACTTTTTTTTTATTATTTGTAAGCAGAATTTATTACATTATGAAACTACAAATAAAATTTTCAATAATACGGAAAAAGGAAAGTATGCAATTAACTGTTATATCCCGACGAAAATAATGAATAGTAACTATCGGGATCTATTTATGGACAAATACTATACATATATTTTTATTGTATAATTTTTAAGTAGTTAAACTATGCATATTCATGTTCTTCTTATTAAAAGCTTCATTTTGACCCATAGACTGTTATTAAACGATTTACCGTTCTTGAGTTATCCCCAGTTTATTAATTACAGTCTCCCGCAATCACAACCACTTTTCGATAGATCTTGTACAAATGTTATTTTCAATTTTATGGTACAACGTGGTCTGATTGGCTTGTATATAAACCCAGTATGTTTGAAATACATGATTCATATTGCAGAGGCTGAGACTTGTGTTCCGGACTCAACTGACAAGGCTAGGTAGAACGAGGGACCGATAAGGACACTAGGTTGCTTCTACGGGTGTATGGGTAATTGGGCACAAGGCTACAAGTTATAACACTAAACAAGACCGGTTTTTTTTGGTTGTCACTGAATAATTTCGCTACATTTAATTGTTAATTGTAATTTTATGTTTTACAATGCATTCATACTTTTACACTGGAAACGATCATTTTTATGCATTTGTTCAGCATAAGGACATTTACAAAAGGCAAAACAAATAATTAAATGATTCTTTTTAATCTTATTTACTTAAAAACTAGCTCAACAAACATATATCAGAAGAAGTAATATCGCGAAATGTTAGATTATTCGAATGATATCTGTTTCAGTTGTATATTTATCTTATACAATGGTCTACTGGATAGGGCATCGCCAGGGAATACAAATAACTTGAAAAACTTTGAAGAATAAATTCAGCACTGACAAGTAATCGAAAATATAATACGCAAATACAGTTTAC